AGAATAGAATAGAATAGAATAGAATAGAATAGAATAGAATAGAATAGAATAGAATAGAATAGAATAGAATAGAATAGGTTTATTGATCAAGTGTGATTGGACATCCAAGGAATTTGTCTTTGGTGCATATGCTCTGAGTGCACATAAAGAAATAAAATACATTCATCAAGAATCATAAAATACAACACTTAGTGATAGTCATAGGTTACTAATAAGCAATCAAAACATACTAGGAAACAAATAAAACAATATAAATTGTAAAGATACAAGCAACATGGTTATAGTCATAAGTGGGAAGTGATAGGTACTAGGAAGGATGAGAAGAAGAATAGTAATACAGTCTTAGTAAATAATTTGACGGTGTTGCGGGAATTAGTTGTTTAGCAGATTGATGGCATTCGGGGGGAAACTGTCTTTGTGTCTAAGTTGTTCTGGTGTGCAGTGTCCTATAGCGTCATTTTGAGGGTAGAAGTTGAAACAATTTATGTCCAGGATATGAGGGGTCTGTAGATATTTTATATCTACAGACCCTAATTTATATCTACAGACCCCTCTACAAAGAAGTCCTACATGTAATGAATGAATAGGCCATCCCTTTCCTCATGAACTACTTATTTTGTGGTGAGGTAGAGATAAAATTTGGAAAGTGAGACAATTTTAATCACACCCCTGTAATCTAATGGTGTTGGCTGGCTCTAAACTTTTACATTTATGATTATTATTTTTCCTCTTCTACTCTTTGAAGAGATGACCCCAGTCTAAGGTTGTCCAAGGCATGAAGGATTCCGGCCTAGCTTGAGAGGATGGTTATCATGGTGATAGAAAGTTTCTCTCTCTCTCTCTCTCTCTCTCTCTCTCTCTCTCTCTCTCTCTCTCTCTCTCCCTCCCTCCCTCCCTCCCTCCCTCCCTCCCTCCCTCTCTCTCTTTCTCTCTCTCTCCCCACCACACTAATTAGTGTTCTGTCTGGTCTAAAGGTTCATTTGTGTCTTGCCTGATTCAGAGCAATGGTGTAGACCAATGCCATAAGATCAGCTGGTTTCAGGCATCATGAAATCATTTTATTTATTTACTTATTTATATTTTTAAATTACTTGGTATTAGCGATCTTGGTATATTATAAAGCACATACACACATGCACACACAAACACACATAGGCCATAAAACCAAATGTACTCAGCCATAGTACTGTCATCTCTTGAGAAATAGATCTAAAGGAAGCATGGCTATTTGTTTCATCCAGAATGAAGATTAAAAGTTTTGTATAATCTTTGTGTATATCTATTAATATGCATGCATGCTTGCAAAACTAGAGCTTGCTATTTGGACTGAAGTAGAAAATTCTCTACTATTTCTTCATAGGAGAGAAACTTACAACTGTGATTGCCTGCTGCTCGGTCTTGTATTTCCCCCCTTTTTATTTTAAACAACCCTTGAAACAGAGGAAGTTTTCAGAGTATTTTCCCCCTGTAAGGCAGGAAATCCATCCCACACTACCAGGGAGCTGGATTCTATTCCAAAGCTCACATTACATGGTAATAACACTAACAACCTAACTGGAATGCTCTTGATTCCAATCCTTTATAAAACATCAGGGATCTCCATAATATAACGACTGGACAAGGTAGTTCTGATTTCCCCTAAAAATTTAGTTTGGAGAAAAGATCTGATTTTCATGGTATGAATCATTTTCCACAAGAAATAAAATGAAAATAACAGGTGGGTGAGTGGGTTCTATAGATTTCAGAGGTTGCTGGGAACTAAAGTACCAACATGATTTGAACTAAATCTGATTTGAAGAGAAAACTCATTAACCTTGATTTTTCTCTGGGTTACATTTTTAACAAGTGGGCAGTTGTTCTATAAGATAAAGGAATAAAACTGGGGTAGAAAATTAGAGATTTTCCTGAAATTATTGGACTATAGTTTACAGATGGAACTTAGATGGAGTAAATTGTCAGAATTCAGTCATTATTGTAGGCCAGGGTTTTGTGGCTAAATGTATGGTACAAACCAAACCAATTAGTTCCTAATCAGTAAACCATGGTTAATCAAATCATAGCCTCTCATAATATGGGACTTCAGTCAAGTTGTTTTAGCGTAATCTACTTCCAAAATTTGTTGTAAGGATGCAGAGAGTTTAGGAAGGAAGGAAGAACACTTCCCTGAGCTTCTTGAAAGAAAAATGGAATACAAAGGTCATTATTAATTAGCAATTGTGATTAGAAATTAGACTTCTTTAAAAGGGTAAATAATTCTTCAGCTGCTCACATTATTTACAAAGATATATATATAGCCAAAACCAATCTCATTACTATCATTCAATTTAAGAAATTCAAATCTAAGCAAACTGGGTAATCCTGCAGTCCAGATAAAGCAATGTAAATATATTTTAACAAATAAAAGCCCAACACCACATGTCAATTAGTAAACAAAAAGGAGTTAAAGTAGAAAATTAAATACAAACGAAAATTGTATCAATATTTCACTTAGGATGGTGTTACCACTGAACCTTTTGCTCTCTTAAAAAAGGATGAAGAACACAACACAATCTTCTAACACCAGTTAAAAAAAAAAGAGTTGTGGGCTCCTTAAGCCAAATGTTCCTTATAAATGTCCCTGTGAAATAAGCAGGTGCACCAAAGAATTGCCATTATCACAAAAGAAAGGGTAACATGTACCTGTAAAAGCCAATTTTATAATACTACCAAGGGATAATGATGATAAATGAAACTCAGCCAACCATTTGGGAGCATTAGTAGTTGTGCTTCTTTTAGCCAGGTTAAAAATTATAGATTGACATATCCTTCTTAGTTCATTTCACCCCACATTCACAAAAACTAACATCTTTTGCATTCCATAGTCCAGAAAAAGTGACACAATTACATTTTCCAGTTCCCAGCTTGATTTTTTAATTTACAATATACTGTAGTTTAGATGAATTATGTCCCTGGTGGGAACTATATATCTCATAGAAATACTGTCATCAGTAAAATTATGCACTTTGGGGGCAATATCATGGAATCTTTTGTCTGTTGGTGTAGTTGTATCAATTCAAAGTTATCACTGGTAGATATGCATCTATTCTGCAGTTTTTACATTCAGTTCACTGCAGATATACATCCAAGATCAGTAGGGCTCTTCTATATATGACCATTTCAGAGCATGAAATTCGTAGTGAAAATCTTTGCAAGTTTTGTTACCAGTTGTAGTCCACTTCTTACATTCACCAGTATGAGTCAGCATCTACTATTGTGAGTCTAGAGCAAACATATGTGACATTTTGCTTGTCACAAGATTAACCATGGGAGCAAGCCTCAACTTTCCTTGTTGTTTTGGCAATTACTGGTAGAATGAGACAATGTCAAACATGTTACACGTATTCTTATTTCATGTCTGCATTTGAGTATCAAACAGATCAGTACTGGTCTGGGTACTCTCAAAATTTTGTTTATACGTAGGATAAAGAGACAATGCAAAATATCAAATCTGCAAGTACCATAACAAAATAATAGGTAGTCAATGCCTTAGAAGGCAGAATTCAAAGTGATCTTAGCTGGGTAAGGAAATAGAAAAAAATGATAGAAATTCAATGCAAACAATTGTGCAGTCCTTCATTTAAGAAACAAGGATCAAATGTACAGCCATAGAAAGGGAATGGGTGGCTTAGGTACAGTATTTGTGAAAAACAGTTTGGAATTATAATTGTTAACAAACTGAACAAGAATCAATAGTGTAGTATGGCTATGAAAAAAGCAAATATGATTTTAGCTCTTACCAACAAAAGTATGGTTTAATATCATTTTACTTTTAGTTCACGCTTGTCAGATTCCATCTCAAGTTTGTATCCAGCCCCTCACACCAAACTTATAAAGGATTCAGATAAATAAACAGCTTAAAAGAAAGGTAATAATGACACTAAAAAAACTATGAAGAGTGATTGAAAGAATTGAAAATGATTAGCTTTAAAGATAAGAAGATTGTGGAAAGCACAAAAGTATTTTCCAAATGCCTGAAACAATGACACACACATTGTCAAGACCTTTTTTATTATTCCATAGTGCAAAACATGCAATAAAAGATTTAATTTACAGAAATGCATGAACAAATTCTTCTCAGTGGTAAGAGTGTTTTTTTTTTTAGAAAGGTTATAGACTCTCTTTCACTTGAAGTGTTCACGTAGAAGCTGAAAATCCACCTTTCAAAGACAGTTTAATTTAGATTCCTGTTTTAAATGGGAGGTTTTGTCACCACAGTTCACATTTAAAAAAAAAAAAACTGAAGTGGATATATTAAAATGGGTAAAAGAGAGTATATTATTAATAAAAAATGAAACTGTTTTCCAAAAAATCCACTTATAAGTACTCATTTATCTGTGCTGTATTTTTTTTTTCAAGAGAGATTAGGCTTGCTTATATAGTTGTTTCAAAACGTGTTGCTAAGCATTCTTCTATTGAGTGAATGAGTGATTCTGTGCTTTCAACTCTGTCAGGCAGGGTACTCAGTTTGTTTAGCTTAGAAGAACATGATGGACATAGATAAAAGAATGTATCTGAGTTTTTAACCATATCAGCTAGGCTTTTGTTTGCATTTAAGCAGGCAGGGTGGGCTTGATTGTCGCATAGGCGGCATTTGATGTAAATTTCACTTTCATTGATGGTTTCAAGACATCTGAAACATGTGCAGGAGTCTGGGAGCTCATTGGTAGAGATATTTTTTCTTTGTTTTGGTTTGGAGTTTTTGGCTGGCATGGTCAATGGCAAT